GGCGAACCGCGGCGAGTGGGGGCCGCGATCGGCGGAACCTGCCGCGTCAGCAGGTAAATAAACTGGCCCGGCCCGCCAGGGTGCTTACCCTGGCGAGCCGCGTGCCGAACGTTGCCGACCCCTGGTGTAGCATAAGAACAGCTTGTTTCAGGCTAGCTTGCACATCCTTGATGCAAGGGATATATTTAAGTATGTTTAAGAAATGCCCCACCACCCCACGCACTCAGTTGTGTGATAAGGAAGTTAAGGTTGTAGGTTCGTATTTGTGGAGTGTGCGTGTTACCTTCCAAGAATGGGAGGTAAAGTTAGAACCTAGGAAATTCAAAGATAAAGTAACATTTCTCAGACAAGGCAATGTTCACTATCATGGGCTCCTTTAATATGATGATTTGACAAATGCTAAATGCATTAGGTGCCAAACTCTGCACTCTGTGAAGTTACTGCTTCACTGTAACAATCAGGCTCAATAGTAAAGCCCTGACTATTGGGCAAAGTCCTGCACGTTGTTGTGAGGAACTTTTAAGTGGCAAAGATGAGGGTTACGCTGCTTGGGAAAAGTAGGGAGTTGGCGCAGAAGACTTCTTTCCAGGACATGTTAAAAAGCAGAGGCTTGTTCCCCTTTCTGTAACAGAAGAGAAGAAGCCAAATATGGTGTCCATGGTAGTCTAGTATCAGACTCCAAGATCCCATACTTGGCCATATCTTGAATGCTTTTAAACTTCCATGCATAGTAATGAACCATATTCTCTATGAATGAAGAAGAACCTGAATAGCATAGAACAGAACGTTTCTTATGACTGGTATTAGCTGAAAAAAAATGGAGTCTGAATCCGTACCCTTCTTGGCAAGTAGTGGTGTGGGCAGTATTTGTAAGTTTCTTAAATACAGGATCATGAATAAAAATAGTAGTAGTGGTTCTTTTCCCAACTCCTTTGTTCCACCACTTACTATTTTTCCTGAAATAATTTCCATTGTCTGTTTGGAAAGCTGTGCTGATAATGATTAGATGTAGTGATAGAAAACCCTTCTGAAGAGGGTAAATAGCCTGTTACTTCAAACCCAGCGCTGGCTTCAAACTTAACTTGTTTGCTATCTGGGGAGCAGTCTACATTTATCATTCAGCATAGACTTTCCCCTCTTATCTCCTTCAAAGCCAACCAGCTTTCTACATCAACTGTCTGGCTTACTGCTGATCCTGCAGCTGTCTAAGCATCATTCCAGTGGCTCTGCCTGGTGTTACTAGGCCAGTATTGGGTATTGTTCCCTTTTGTCTGTTTAATTTCATCCTTTTTTTTTTTTGACTGATTTTACCTGTTGTCCGTAAAGAAAACTTTCAGGAGATACTATCAAGCCCTTAAACACATTCACCATCTTTCTGAGGTGCCAATTATACTAATAGTTTCAGGAATTTGAAATCAAAACATATTAATTCTTGAAAAATTAGTACTAAATCAATAGGAGAAACCCCTAGTTTGTATTAACTTTGGTACCAAATATAATACCTGTCACACTACTGTTATACTACTGCAGTTACAGTAGCTGGTGATGTTAGTTTTGTCTGTTCGTTTGTTTTTAAAGTTGGCTACAGAGGGCCTTATTTTCAACAGTGGGAATGCAATTATGTGTCCTTACTTACATGCCCAAATACCAGGCTTTTACAGACACAATGATCAGTAAGCGGTTATACACTGAAACTTAAATTCTCAGTCTGCATGTGCAAATGCATTTGTATGTACAGACCAGGTTCCCTTTTCTTCGTTCGTTCGTTACACATGGCTATACTTATCTAGAACATGTACATTTTTATCATAGTTCACAAATAAGGAGTAAATATGAGTTTGAAGTCTGTGGCTGTTCCTTTTGAAAATCTGAGGATCCTTATTAAGTCTTCTGAGCTTTATTACGCCTTCCATTGTCCTATTGGCCTCTGATTTTGGCCATTTTCTTTGTTAGAATAGGACTGGATTGAACTCTCTTCAAAGTCGTTTAATGCTGCTCCTTAATTGGCCAGAGGGATAATTTAACTGTAGTAACACTGTGTAACATAATCCAGTCAAGGGAATTACGCTGTTTGCCAGCTAATGAGAGAACTGTCAAAACCTGTTTTTGAGAAGGGTATATTTACACAGTTTTACTGATTTATGTGCACTCTGGGGTTAGTTAGAAAGTTAAATGAATGTTTATGTAGCCTATTTCTAAACTGAAGATGTTTCAATTGACAGCCAGGTGGGAATTGAGAATTTTCAGAATGATCAGAAATGGAACAACAAATGGTGCAGTTATCAGAGTTAAATCCACATAGAAGTGCTGGGGAGAGAGCAGCACTTCGCTGTTGCTGTCTTAGGGCATGGCTACACTTGCAGATGTAAAATGCTGGGAGTTAAACCGGCCTTTGGAGACTGCAGCAGGGAAAACGCTGCCGTGTGTTTACACTGTCAGCTGCAAGCGCACTGGCGTGGCCACATCAGCAGCTCTTGCAACGCCACAATGAGCAGTGCATTGTGATAGCTATCCCAGTGTGCAAGTGGCTGCAATGTGCTTTTCAATTGGGGGGGGTGGAGTGTGACAGGGAGTGTGTTGTATGTATGTGGGGGGAGAGACAGTGTGTTTTGGGGGGCTGAGTGTGTGTCAGTATGCTATCTAGTAAGTTCAGACAGCAGCAGACCCCTCCCTCTCACACACCCCCACAACAGCAGCATTCCACAGTAATGGTTTGCTTTGTCCCAGAGCAGATAAGCATGCCAGCTGTCAGAAACTGAGCTTTGAAAGGGGATATCTGCATGCCTGCAGCCGATTTCAAAACAATGAGAAGAGTGGCCACTGGAATCAGGGGATTATGGGATCTTTCCGATCACAGCACAGTAATGCAACACCTCGTCCACACTGACGCCCGGGTGTTTCAGCCGGGGCACAGCAAGCTTTATGCTTCTTGTGGAGGTGGATTACCAGGAGTGCTCCAGCTGCAGAGTCCAGGCGCTCTACATGCCTTGCCAGTGTGGACACATTGAGGAGTTAGGGCACTCGGGGCTGCTTTAATGCGCTCTAACTTGCAAGTGTAGCCAAGCCCTAAAGTAATGTCTTGCCTTGAGGATTGGTAAGGGAAAATAGAGCCACTTCTAGGCAGCCAGTTAAAATATAATCCCCATGTCTCCAGCGTCTGAGAATCAGGCTCTTGGGGACACAATATGCAATTGGCTTGCTGGTCTGTTTTTAGTTCCTCGTGGACAAGTGACTACATCTCAATAATTGGAAAATATATTGGTCTCAAAGGCTAAGGATTGAATGGGCTGTGGAGATTTCTACTGCATCTGTCTCAGACAGTATAACCAGCCTCTGGAGCTATGGATAATTCAGTACAGATGCTCCCCGACTTACGCAAGCGTTCTGTTTTTTTTTCCCTGTAAGCTCAGATTTGTGTACATCGGGTTTATGTAACTCGGGGAGCGTCTGTATCTTTCAACCCACCTATACACTCAAGCTGGAGTTATATGTTTAATATTTTTTTAAATTTTGCATTTCAGGTAAGCTGAAAGATCTTGGGAACTTGGTTCTTCGACCCTTTGGCCTGTCGACAGAAAATTTCCAGGTCAAACAGGATTCCTCAACTGGCTCATACTCCATCAACTTTGTTCAAAATCCAAACAATAACAACAGATAGCATGAGCTAGGCCTGCTCCTATTAAAAAGCTGGCTTTCAAGCTTTGTGACACCATGCTTGCAACTACCAATAAAAGGGTTCAGCAATCATTTAACATGTAAAATCACTTTATTCAAATGAAAATAGACTTGAGGGTATACATTTCCACTTTGGTGAGATGTTTAAAATGTGGATGAAAAAACAAGTCATTTGATTTCCCTTTTGCAGTGACAGCTTTATGCCCAGAGTAGGTTTTTTTCCAAGTGCATTATTTGTCTTCCCTTATAAGGAAGTTGGTTACCCTGGTCCATTCACTCTCAGCAACATCAGTCTAGCAAGCAATTCAAAGTTGGATCAAAATGCTCACATGCCTGTAACCCAAATTACAGGTGTGTCCAATGGGTGTCTTGTGGTGTTAGTAAATCTATCAGAAGTGCGTCTCGCCACTCAGCCAGTGAGTGTGACAGGCAGTGGCCGTGGAAGCAAGCTGACCTCTGTGGTATAATTTATCTTCATTGTAATAAAGGCTTGATGTTTCTGTTGGGCTGATTTGTGATTTTTGTGCTGTATTTTGGCCTCTCACCAGAGGTAACCTTCGAATGATGGTATTTTTAAATGAATATAATCATAAGTAACCTACAAACAAGAAATCAAATTTGCAAGAGACTGGTTTAAAAAAAATGCAAGGCTTTTAATCTTAACATTGTCTTATTATAGAGTTTATATCATTATTTTTTTCTTGGGCACCCTGGCACCAGAGGTTTACTACTTGACTTTATCTTGATACCCTTGGGAGACTAGTTGGAAGCTACTTGCAAACCGTCTTTATTTTTGGTATGTTAACTTTTACTATGAGGTAAGTAAAATTCACCTGCCTAGTTCAGTACCTGTTGTGGGTTTCACAAAGTAGCTTTCTGGTGCTAGTATAATGAGATGCAATTATCCTTGATGTTAAAGTAGGGTTACCAGATAGCAACTGTGAAAAATGGGACAGGGGTGGGAAGTAATAGGCGCCTATATAAGAAAAAGTCCCAAAAAACAGGACTGTCCCTTTAAAAACGGGACATCTGGTCACCTTATGTTAAAGTGATTGCAAAAAGGTCCTCAAGCTGTACTGGAGTCTCTGAATCTAGGAAAGGTTTAAAATATCTCTGCAGACATACTATTCAAATATTGTGGGGTTTGAATTGGGATAGGGTTGTGGTATTTTTGCTAGCTTGTAGCTAAGCATGTTTTTTTTTCTGTATTGACCCAGTTTTATAATAGTAAGCCAAAACCTGGATGGAGCTTTTAAATTACCATTGATTTGAAAATATCACTTATTTAAAATATTAAATTAAAACTGAGCTATTTAGTAATTGTTGTAAATAGCTATTTACTTATTTTCAGTTCTCTCCTTTAACTTATTCCTGAAACTTGTTAGCTGCGTGCACTTGACGTCAGCTTCCTGTCACCATAGATTACTTTAGTGCTCGCATATCTTGAGCCCCATTTCCAGTGACATGCTGGAAGGGGGCAGTCCCTCAAGCTATTTCCTAGCTTTTATTGTTGGGTTTTTAAGTGCTGCTGATTTCCTTGTGTTTGAGAAGATTTGCATTTTGCTTAGCTATTTGTAAAAGTTGTCCTGCTGCCATGCTAGGTTCATGGGCTGGTTTTGACTCTGGCTACCTGGTACATGCTGTCCATATAGCATCTGTTGCAAACTACCTCACATCCACAGTGAATGTGTATGAAGTCCATGGGGACCAAGCTGTCAATGGAAAAGGCCCTGGTTCACATTGAGGCCTGTGCGGACTTTAAGTTCTTGTGCATAATTAAAATGTCACTTAACTAAACAACAGAAAACAGCCGCTAGGATTTCCATGTGTTTAGACATTAGTCATGAATTGCGCTAGTGGAATGGGGGTTTATTTCTCACAGAAGGCCCAGTCCTCTGCCCAGTCTCTGTTAGGTGCAGCAGAGGTGGAGGAGCTCTGAAGGGGCTGGTTGATCCTGGTGTAATTGAGAGCAGCCATAGGGCTGCTTTTAACTATAACTTGCCTGCAACCGCCCCAGAGAGCTTTTGCCAGGGTTTGAGGGGGATGTCAGAACCTGCTAGGCTGGTTTTGTCATCTGGAGATTCCGCCTAAAACAGGGGATTCCTCTGCTAGTTGTGTAAACAAGATTGACAGCCTCTTTGCACTAGCAGAGTAATGCAAAGAGGATGTGATGGGGTTGAGGTTTGCACCCCAAGGCTTCAGTCTGCTACCACTTTAGAAGGAAAAATAACAAACCTGTTGTAAATATAAAGTAGACTTTTAAACTGGAGCATCCCAAACTGATTCTGGGCATTTGAAATTTTACTTTTTTTTTGACTGGCTGATTAATCAACAAATAACACACTGGTGCTCACAAATGTACATCAGATGTGTAAAGGCACAGTCAGTGATTTAACAGCCTGATGCCTTGTTTTACAAACTATTTAAGGGGTAGATTTCTTTCTGCATTATATTCCTGCTTCAGATTTTTAAAGGGTGGCGAATATTTTACATGCATGAGGGGAAATTATTTACCTTACAGAACAAAGATAAAAAACAAAACTTGAATGACTACCTGATGCTACTAGTTTTGTTTTTCGCAAGTGCACGGTCACCATGAACTCGTGGAACATGGAATAAGCTTTTAAAATGTAAGTTGCAGTATGTAGGTATTTAAATAACTTCCACAAAGGACTGTAAATGTGAAGCATGAAAGAATGAAATCAGGTTTGTTGGACAAGACCTATTTTCCATAAAACCATGTTGACTGGCATTAATTATATTCTTGACCTTTAATGCTATATTGATGGAATCCCCTATCAGCTTTTCCATTATTTTAGCCTGACATCAATCCCAGACAACTGGCCTATACTTACTGGGGTCATCCCATTTGTTCTTTCTGAATATTGACACAACATTAGCGCTCTTCCAATCTTCTGAAATGTTGCTGGTATGCCAAGATCTATTAAAAATTTACATCTGTGGGCCAAAAATCTCCTCAGCCAACTCTTTTAAGACTCCTGCTTGCAAGTTATCAGGCCTGCTGATTTTTAAAATGTTTAGCCCTAGTAGATGATGTTTTTATCCACCTGAGTACCAATGGACTGAAAAGTACTTCATCATCCTTATGGGATATAAAAACATCGTCCTACTTCTTTCTAAATACAGAACAGAAATTTATTGAACACTTCTGCCTTTTTAATTTTAACATCTCTTGCTATACCTGGGCCTCTACCATTTATAGGATTTCTTTTGTCCCTAACATACTTCTTGTCCTTAACCCTGGATTTTTTTCCCAGAGGTCTTTAGCTTCACACCTTATCAATTTTCTATATTTCACAACTTCTCATTTATATTCTATCTATTCTTCCCCTTGCTTTCATTTCTTATGTATTGCTTTTTTTATTTCTAATTGCTGCTGTTACCACTGGAGCAGGATGGGCTTTTAGCCAAAGTTACCCTCTTTCTTGATTGTGAAATTATGGCTTTTTGGTCATCTAATAAAGAATTTCAATTTTTTAAAGAACTCCCAATTTTCAATCACATTTTTCTGTTTCAGTTTATTCTTTCCAATCAATTTTGTTCATAATTTTCCTCAGTTTTGAAAAAATTTCCCTTTTGAAGCAGTGGGTGGGACTGGTTGCTGATACTGAACATAATGAGGATCATTGGTGCTTAGATGCATTAATCACTGGACTGGAAGTTGGTGGCTGCCCATTTTCTATCATAACGAGGTCTAAAATAGTTACCTAGTGTTTCACTCAGGTGCAATATTTTGTGTTAGAAAATTATTTAAAGTGTTAAGAAGTTAGACATTTTACTACTGCATGACACCTGCATGACACCTCCCACATGCATCTGCCAAAATTGAAGTTCCCCCACAACACAATTTTTCTCCCCACCCATTATAGTAATTCATCCTGGTCTCTGGTTTGATTCTATGGTCTGTAACAGGCGACAGCCACTAGTTCTTCCTGATCTTTGTAGTCATATGTTGCTACACCTACAATCAAGATGCTGGGGCTCAAGTTATTGATAACTAAATAAAACTACTAACTGTATTAATGTAGTGCCACCCTCCCCTTCTAACCTAGAACAAGCTCTATAACTAGTGATTTTAATATTCCAGTCATGTGACTTGTCCATCCAGATTTGAGTGATGCCAATTATATTAACTTTCTTCTCATCAGTGAGAATTTCCATTTCGTCTTGCTTGTTACCAGGCTCTTAGCATAGGTATATAAGAAACTAAAAAAATGTTGTCATTTCACATTCTTTGCCATGTCAGTGGAGTTTGTTTACAATATGCTGAGTTTGAGCTGAATTTGTTGTCTTAGCTCCCTTTCCTTGTAGGGCTAGTTAATGGCCGCTTGGTTGCTCCAGCTAGTCTCCAACTGAGATGATTAACTCCCCTTCGCCCATCTCTGAGATGCAAGCCATCCCATTCATACACCCTCCCCTCCCACTGGAATGTGTCCCAATGTTCCTCAAAACCTTCAGCTTCACACCAGTTGCAGTCAGTGGTTCCCCTCCAGTATTTTCTGCCTTTCATGCATAGGCCAGAAGAATCTCCAAGATCACTTGGACTTTCCTCCTTTTAAGCTCTCTTTCAAGACAACTTCAGTAATCTATCATTTGTGCAGTTCTATATGATGATGCGTCATTAGTTCTAATGTGTATCATCATTAGTGGAGACTTGCCAGATGAGTGCATGATCCTGCCCAATCTTGCAGTTACATCTCTAATTTTTGCTCCGGGAAGACAGCACACCATTCCCAAGTCTCCCAGTCTGTGTGGGGCTGGTGACTGATACTGTACTGAAAGGCACATGGGGCTTTCTAAATTAATGTAATAGTTAATCTTTGGAGGGGCTTTAAGCTGTACGTGAGTTCTTTGAGAAATACTCTGTAATCCCATTTAACCATGGGAAAAGGCACCATTTGACGAGCCTTCTGTACACTCTGGAGACAACTGTGCAAACAGCTTTATCGCAGGCTGTACAACACTTTATCAAAATGTGTTCATTCCAATTTAAAGAGCACCCTCCATTGTAGCTTAATGTAGAAAACCAGAGGGACTCTCAATGCCTTCAACAGTTCCCTCTCCTAAACCCTCATCCTGTAGCTCCAGGTTGTGCAGCCCAAGGTGGGCGAGAATTCCAACATAATAAGCTGTATCTCCCAGCCAACCCCGGCACAAAACGATTGTCTATTTATCATGCTGAGATTAACAGTCTGACTGCTTGCTCACTTTGCCTCCTTCAGGCTGCAAGCATGGGGGCCTTGCTCAGTCCTCTTCTCCAGTTCTAACCTAGCTGGTTCCTTCATGCCTCCCAGAGTCTTGACAAAGGAAGAGAGAGAGGATGCATTTACCTGGGTCCTTCTCACTTATGAACAGTTCTAGTAAACAAGAGAACAGTGATGCTGCCCGCCTCTCTTCCATTCTATAGTCTTACCTCCTTTCTCTCCCCTGATGGAGTGGGACTGCCCTATTCAAACTCCTCCTGACTTGTTGAGGCTCT